AAAAATTTAATGGTTTAAAAATGATTAACAATGTGAATTCACATTCCAATAATAATATATTCTGTAAAGCTGGACGATTTCTTTTAATCATATTTGAAATAATTTACCGTATATTACCTCGAGATGATGTCTCTAGATCAAATACTATATTTGTAAGGTTTTGTTGATGCAACTGCTTTGTACTTGATTCACAGGGTTTTGGAGGAGGAGGAATTTCTGCTGCATCATTCTCTGGTAAATATCCCATGCCACTCTTGTACTGGGAACCCTCCCTGGTTTCTGTTTGCTTTGTCTTTGAAAGCCTGTGTAAATTCATAGTTTGTTATAATTGCTGCATGTGCATGAAAATGATTCCAGTTTTATTGGCTAGGTTAATACATCTGCAGAACATAGACAAAATTGTAGGCTAAATCATATTTTCAAACAATATAATTATTATATTATTAAAGTCTACAAACACACTGTACCTCTTCTCCTTCTGTCGTCTTCTTTGTTGCTTGAATTTTTTAGTTTGTTGCCTTGCCCTTTGGTGTGACATCTTAGCATCCATTCTTGTCAAGTGTTTTATCCCTTGTGTTCCAGGGGAAAGGTGAATTTTCTGAAGGGCCTGTGTGCAAAATTAGGAGTGGTTTTTTAGTGCACGTGTGTGTTTATGTAGACAGATTCTTATGTCTAGTTGTACACTGTACATGTATGTATTGAAAATTAAGTGCTTTATGTATTAATTGGAAGTAATGATATATTATTGTAGAATACTCAAGAGTACAACGAGTAAAACTGCAAATTTTGGCTGTGGCATTCAAATAAATGACAAGGAAGCAGAACATATTTAATCGTGTACCACCTGGTGGTGAGAAAGCCTAGGTGATGTTATTTCTAATGCCACACAAAATGTGTATTGGTATGTAACAAGGAGTAAAACTGTACTTGTCCACATTACATACCTCACTCACATATGAATGGCCAATATTCTTTTGGCTCACTGCGCATGCCACACGATAGTCATTGCTCTCACTTGAGCCGTAATGCCTGATTTTGGGGGCTTTGCTGCCTATGGTATTATTTAGTGCTTCATTGGCTTGACTAGATCCAAGTGGAGCCAACTTTTCTGCATTGTCACAGTAAATTTCGATGGTTTCTTGCAGGTCTTTTTTCAAGTCTTCCCCCTCTAGATCTTTGCCATGGGGTAGAGTGCTGTGACGATAGGTGACGGGATCTTTTAGGTACTTGCACCAAGAGATGGAACAAGTGCCATGATCACCAAAGGCATGTGGAACTATCGCTCGGAGGCCATTTTTTACTCCAGTGGGGTCATTTTTGTTTTGTGTAACAGCATAGCTGAAGCACTTCTGCAAATAGTCAATCACTTTAGCAGTTAACTTTTTGTGTGATTTCTGTAAACCATAAAGAGAAGATGCAAAAGCTCTCTTTGCATGGACAATGTCAGACCATTTTTCAACGTCATGGTCAAGGGTGTCTCTCACTTTCTTTATAGTTGAAGAATCATCATCCCCCACAAGGATTGCCATCTGGGCTTCACCGTTTTCCTCACATGATTTCACAAGCTGGGCACATACATCTGCTTCCATGCTCTTTGATGAGCCATCCCAGTTACATCTGCAGTCGTGCGTGCGAGCCCTCTTTCCAGCTCTACTCGCTGCTTCGCATGTTGCACACCTCTTAGTCCTTGTTCCAAATCCAATCACCTTGCCTGTTTTTACACCAATCAGAGAACCAACTCCTGACAATATAAAAAGTAAACCAAAGAAAAAAAAAACCTGAGTGGTGTAATCAAGGGGGTGGACCTCATGTAGATTTTGGATGGGTATGTGCTGCTCAGACCTAAAGTGTTGGACTTACTTTAGAAGGATTTTACATGCAAAATGATGCCCTTTGAGGCAATTCACAAGTTATTTGAAATCCTGTTCTTTTCAGATTAATACATGTATTCCTAACACATTCAATTAGCCTAATGAGTAGCACATACCTGTTAAGGTATTTTGAGCGAGTTGCCCAATACCCCCTGCAGTAAAACTAAAAGTATGCCACATGAAAGATTGGGTCATGGATGTAGTTCCCTGAGAATTTTAGACAGATGTCTTGGTAAGATTTAGTACTTCAACCGTGATAACAGCAGACAAATAAGCCATCTTACTGAAAGGAAAAATCTTTAAAACTAGTTTGTGACAACTTCAGGGCACCCTTCAATAAATAAACTCTTTCTGCCACCCCATCCCCAAATTATTTACATGAGTTGTTAGGTTACTGTTTACAACATAGTTATTTTGTGGGAAAGTTATTCAATATTCTTATTCTTAGCACCTTATTTCAAGTACCTGTTAAACTATTATGACCCTTCCCTCTTTTCTGCCACCGCATATCATAGGACGCTCCAATAGGCACTGTTTCATTTACACGTTCGGTACTTCCCCACTGTTTCTTTTCCTCCTCTAACATACGTTCACAGGATGTGTTAGCAATGTCCTCGATGGCCGGACCAATTTCTTGTTCTCTGGCTTTTAATGTGTCCCCATGAACAGGAGGGATGTTTAAAGAGGATAATAGAGCATTTACATGTGTTGCTCCCATTCCTGCATGTAGCATTCCTGTGAATGTAAATAAAGAGTAAATAATCGAGAAAAAAGTTGGTACAAATCTGTACAAATGTAAGTGTGATAAGTTACAAAGTCTCATAACAAACCTGCGGCGAGCTTTGTGTTTACGTCGAAGATTGGACGTCCACGCATCCTGCCAGGCACCATGTGGGTTTTACTTGTTTGACAGATGTTTAGTTCTCCGCAATCTGGATTAGAGCACATTATGTACAGGAAAGAACCCAATCCAGAGACTGTTTCGTCTGTGATGCGGGATAATTGAAGTGGATTAGTACAAGTGTTGCATCCACGATCCAACGCTTCAGCGAGTAAGTCAAGTTCGACGACACGCCTACCGCTTATTTTGGTCATATTCTCAAAACACACCTCTTCACGGTCTGGTGATTTATGTTCCCAAATTTTGCCTAAGTTTTTTCTTCGACCTGCTTCATGCATGGATAGGCACCTGCGAAAGCGCCCTTTGTTGTCGCGAGACGGGCCGGCAATTTTCTGTTCCACCATATTGGATGTCGCAATGTTATGCGCAGTAGGGAATGCGCAATGCAAAACCAGGGAATCACCTTAAACACATCCATCATTCCTTCTCCATAAATATGTTGTCTTGCATATCTACCCAATTCAGGGTCAAGTTTCATTTTAAACTCTGATTGTCTCATCATTTTATTTTAATAGTTATATTACATTGAATGGAGTATCAAAGTCACAAACCAATCTATACCATTAAAATTTACTGGTCTTCCAAGTGAGTCTGTCACATATATTCTCATTTCATCAATGTGAAATGTAGATACAGGACAATACAAAGGTCTTTTAGGCTCAAACGTAAATGGATAAGACCTTGTGAGATTATCAGTTGGTACCACAGCAATAGTATTTGTATTTATTCCATTTACAATGCTATCAGTTATTGCGCTTGTGTTGATATTTAACACATCAATCGAATTTGTGATATTTGGTAGTTTTGTTCCATACTCTGTTTTTGTAATAAGTTTCTTTTCAAATCCAATTAGGTCTCCAAATTTTGTTCCTCTCAAATCAAGTTGATAGTTATTACTAACTGAAATTAAAATTCGATAGGTAGATAGTATAAAAGTTAGATTGATTGAATACTCCTTTTCTCCTTTGGAGTTTGTTGAGTGATGGTTTTTTTGTGACATATATTGATGAATGTAATCATTAATATCTGAGTAGGAATACATTCCATCTGTAAAAGTAATTGTTTGCCAAGTCCTTCCATCATGGGTGTATTTGATTTTATTGTTATCGTAATCACTTCTAATGTTGTACCAAGAGTAAGTCATGGACAGCCGATCAAGAGCAAGTTCGTGTTTCTTATCAGGGTCAAGTTTCAGAGATGGACTAAACTTTATAGTAAAATCACCAGGTCTGCTTGTTCCTCTTTTTTCCCTGTTTATTGAGGATATGTGGATAGCTCGTTCTTCCATTTTTATATAATTGGTATATAATTTTTTGGTAGATTAGTTAGTTGTTTTTTGAGATTACTTTCATTTGGTTGAGAAGATGCGCAATTTGAGAAAACTCAGGTATTACACCATTATTACCAGCAAGAATTGAACCACCTAGTAATTCAAGTCTGTCTAGAAGTTGAAGTGGGTTGTTAAAGTAAATTCCTTCCCCTACCTTATATTTAAGCGATCTTAAATAATCTTTCATAGTATTTTTATATTTCATTAGTGTTCCTTTTTGCATTTTTTAAATTTCAGTTTCAGCTTCATATAATGGTGATGGGTTTTTAGCTTTCTTTCGACCGCTAATTTCACCAGTCATTTGTTTTATATTACCGTTTAATTCTTCTAAAGTTAGATCTAAATCTTTAGGATTAATTTCAAAGAAAGAATTTGGTCTTGGGTATCCAAATTCTTTTAATAACTCTAAATCTCTTCCTTCAAAGTTTTTTTCTAAATTCAAATATCTATCCGGAGGTGTACCTTCTGGGATATATTTCCAATTTCCATCCCAACCTTTTTCATTATCATATTCACCCAAATCTTCTCCAACATATGGTAATTCTCTCATATCAGATAATTGGTTAAACTGTTCAAAACCTTGAGTAAGAGCAAGTTGATTTTTTTTAAGTTGTGCTATAGTTGCGTTTTGCTGCTCATCAATACTTTTTTTAATACTATCTTGGGACTTAATAAGTGGTTTAAATGTTTCTTTAAAACCTTCCCGAGCATCTTGTTTTTCCCATTTTGTAATTTTTATAACATCTCTCACCTGTCGAGTCAAAGCATCAGCTTCAATTTTATTTCTTGCAAGTTTTTTGTATTCTTCAACATCCATTTTATTTAATGTACATATTAGATAAAATGGAAATACCAAACTATGATAGTGGTGACAACCCAGATAAAAAATATAAACAGTTATTTCCTTACATGCCAAAAGAAACATTCCGGATGTTAATCTGTGGAAACAGTGGAAGTGGTAAGACTAATTTGTTGTACCACATGTTAATTAAACCTCTACTGTATTACGATGAGATTTATCTTTACGCGCGTAATCTAGAACAGGATAAGTATCAAAAGCTAATTCAAAAAATTAGGGAGTTGAGTAGTAAGCTGGGATATGAAATACCTCCAGTGACAGAAATGGATTATGAAGACAATCAAAAACTTGTGATATTCGATGACTACGTTTGCGATAAAAACCGGAGACAGTTAATAGATTATTTCATTCAAGGACGACATAAGAATTGTTCGGTGGTATACCTCAGTCAATCGTTTTATAAAACACCAAAGGACATTCGGCTGAATTGTTCTCATTACTGTTTATACGAATTTCCATCATCTAGGGAATCCAACAGAATATCATCTGAGTTAGGAGTTAGTAAAGATTATAAAGCAGCAACTAAAAAACTGTATTCATTTTAATACGTTGATAAACCAAGAAAACGTATTGCAAGAAACTTTACAAGTAATCTAACCAATAATTAAAATGGGAATATTTAACGAACAATCTCTTGATCATCCCTTTGCTAGGGGAATACAAGGTGCTCCAGGAGTTGGATTTAATCTCACTTCAAGTGGGGATTATGATATGATAAATAAAAAACTAAGAAATGTTGGTGCACCTAGTGCTAATACTGATGCTGCTACAAAGAAATATGTTGATGATAATTCCAGTGGATCACCCGCAACATCACGACTAACAGTTGATTCAAACATTGATATGAAGGATAGATACCGTATTCAAAATCTTATCACACCACAGGATTCTAAAGATCCAGCAACAAAATATTATGTAGACAACACATTTCTTGACAGAGATGGATCTTACCCGATGAAAGGAAATCTTAATATGGACAACAATCGAATATATAATCTTCCTGCTCCAGATGGTTCCAATCAACCAACACCATTAGCTTTCACAGATTTGAAGTATCTCCACGTTGGTGAAACAAATAAAATAAATAATAATCTAAACATGGATAATAAGGGTATAATTCATTTAAAAACGCCAACAAATGACACAGACGGCGCAACCAAAAAGTATGTAGATGACTCAATACCTGATACTAGTTCTTTTATAAAAAAGGACGGAAGTGTTGCTATGACTGGTAACCTTAATGTTGGAAACAAAAAAATAGCTGGTCTTGCAACTCCAACATCAAATACTGATGCTGCAACCAAAAAGTATGTAGATGACTCAATACCTGATACTAGTTCTTTTATAAAAAAGGACGGAAGTGTATCAATGACTAATAACCTAAATCTTGGAAACAAAAAAATAGTTGGTCTTGCAACTCCAACATCAAATACTGATGCTGCAACCAAAAAGTATGTTGATGATAACACAACTGCCCCAGATTTAAGTGATTACTTGGAAAAAGATGGTACCGTCACTATGACTGGAAACCTTAATCTTGGTAATAATAAAATAGTTGATCTCGCAACTCCAACATCAAATACAGATGCTGCGACCAAAAAGTATGTTGATGATAATGCTGGAAGTCCAGATTTAAGTGATTACTTGGAAAAAGATGGTACCGTCACTATGACTGGAAACCTTAATCTTGGTAATAATAAAATAGCTGGTCTCGAATCTCCATTTTCTGGCACAGATGCTGCAAACAAAAATTATGTTGATGTTAAATTTGCAGGAAGTAGACTATATCTTAGTAGTTATTTAAAAAGAAATGGTAGCACTGCTATGACTGGAGAACTTAATGGTGGTGGTAATAAAATAATAAATATTGGTAAACCACTCCAAAATAGTGATGCTGCAACCAAAGATTATGTTGATAAACTAGTTCATCATACTGCAGTTCAACCAAGTCATTACAACAACCAGTTTGCTTATCTTATGTCAAGTGGGGCTCAGTGGACTGATGAAATAGATGGAGGAGTTAGTTTTGTTGTAAATAGGATAGATTACTCACCACCAAACAAAGGCAACTTTCACGATTATAATCACAAAGTTATTTACATGTATATAGTTAAAAATAAACAACAATATAAGTATAAGATGGGAATTAATTTTTACAGAATACCTGCAAATACTGATTACACGTTGTGTTTGGAAATACTCAACACAGATTATACTCTTTGGGATAAGACTCAAATAAGTGTTGACAAAGGAACTTCAACAGGATTATCAATTGGAAATGTAGGTATAAGAAAACTATTCCATAGGTATACTGATCCAAAAGGGCAAACACAAACTATGTACTACCATAGAATAATAGTTAATTTCCGGAAGTTGTCATCTGGTAATAAGTTCTTTCTTCACATTCTTGTTGATATTTCAAAAAAAGGATATAATATTTATAAATATCCGCGAATTTTTCAAGGGGTTTACCTAATTGCTTATGGTATTGTGGGTACATTTAGCAATGTCGACCCAGATAAAGTTTACGACTATCACACCGCATTTGATATTAAACCAACAGAAGTGGCGTATAATGTTGATATTAATGCAAATAATAAAAAAATATTAAGAGCGACGGTCAGGAAATATCGACCATTGAGTGGCAAGAGTTGAAAAATGAATTTCGCTTATTTTCTGACTATAAAAAGCTACTAAGAATAGAAGAAATTTAATGTATTTCTTTTTCTTTCGGAGCGCTTCAATTCTGAGAAAACTGAGAAAAACGAATTTGACCCGCGACGATCCCGAAAGGTCCCGCAAGCGAGTGTGAAATTGATATTTTAAACTGACTTTTGGTCTTCAAGGAAAAACGATTCAAAGGATCATAACGCCGAATTTTGATAGAGTGGGTGCCGTACTTTCACAGAAACTATATGACTTATCTTTATTGTTTTTCATGAAAAGCAAACAACGCACAGGAAAGTGCTGTATTTTCAAACGTGAAAAATCCCGCAAATACCTCCTTAATTCAAATGTTTTTTTCACTATGTGGCATAATTCAGATTTTCCTTTTAACTATGTCATTAGAGGGATTTAAGGTTGTTCTTGATAATATGTTAGAATCAGCATGGGTTTTCTTTACAGCGCCTCACGCGAAGGTTTTGAAATGACCGTAATTCATTCAAATTTCTACAACGGCTGAGTAAACAATTCTTGTTGCGTGACCGTAACGTCAAGCGGAGTTTTTACACAGCTGACTGGAATATACACGAAAGCGTACTGAAAATGATTCTGGTACTGTGAGCTTTTCGTCCTTTTTTTATTGAAAAAGGTAATCGGCCAAAGAGAGGTTATTTTTTCTCACTGTTAAGGTGGAAGTTTTCTTTTTCACTGTAAGATGTTTTCACTGATAAATATCAGGATGTAATTTGATTAGCTCTCGGCTAAACCTGTTTAACTTTTATACTTGTTTTTTTCGCTTCCTTTGGTTTCAGAAGAATCTGGAAAGAGAGACAAAAATGATAGATGCTTTTTAAATTGATATTTACTTCAATTGTGAGGAGTTATTTTTATTATTTGTTGAAGAAATGACAGAGTTGGCAAAAGCTCGAAGCAGTTTACTAGCCGTAGCGTATTAGTAAATTGAATTAGTCAATTAAATGCAAAAAGGGAAAAATTTAATTAGCGAAGTTGGAGTGAATTTGCTTTGCCAGTTTTGTGTAATCATGGACGTTAAGTGCTCTTTTAGCTCCTTAGTCGGCGGTTCTTGCTCTTATGACCCTAGAGATAGGAGCAGATCAACTGAGGTTATTCCATTTCTGAACTGCAAAAGAGACATCGCGGGTCATAAGTCTTCCTTGTCAATAACTGACGTAGAAACCGAAATCGAACTTATTTTGGGAAGAGTATCTACATCCTTTTCTTCGGAGTTAAACCTTTCGGAATTAACGATTTGTCCCCGGCACCGTTCATCTCTTGGTATTGGGTGGCGTCGAGGATCGAATCTGTGCCGAGTTCCTCCGCCAATCTCGAAGCACGGCGGACAAGCCCAAAAAAACGCAAAGGCAGAAAGAGGACTTGGCAAAAGTGCTTGTTATTTGATATGGAAGAAACTGGGAATTTTTATTCCAGTTGGTTCAGGTATGTATACATCATTTTTCATCTTTTTCAACCAAACAGACCAGCTGTAAAATGGGGGTCCAATCTGACACTTCAATTAAAGCACTTTGTAAGCACTTTTCCTTTTTTTTTTAATTTTAACTCTTTCAATAATTAAGTAGCCGTGACGGTCGCAAATTCAATAGCCTTTGTTTATTTACGCGTTTCTTTTCCTTTCATTATTCTAACATTTTATATAAGTTATTGTAGCAGCAAAAAGGTAAAAGTAAAAGCCTACACTGGACTCCTAAAATTACAGCTTTTTAAAGCAGATTCCCTGATGGCCTATAGATAGATACAGGGAGACTCAGCCCCTAACGGGTACCTTTATCAGGCTTCAGGTATATCAAAGGGTAGGGAATTGAAGAGTTGAAGTATATCAAAGGGTACGAAAATCTGTCATTTAAGTTTTTTAAAACAGGTTCCCTTACTTGTGTAAATTAAGACCGTAGTTGTTCTGAATAGTGATTATATCGTATCAGCAAAAACCTGCATTTTCCATCGATTCACTCAACAGGTATTTGTCGCAACTGCCGGGTTAATCTTGACATGCAGAAAATAGGGGAGCTGCCCACAAAGCTTCTGGAGACCAAGAACCTTTCTTACGAGGAAACTGAGACGATTGAGACTTCTGTAAGTTCTGAACTGGCACTCAATGGGAATAGTGTTATTAACAGTGGCACCAAACAAGGCCCGCGGGGTAAAAAAGATAAAAAAAAATGGATAGGGACTTTATCATCACAAAGTCTGCATGAGCGGGCCCCGTTTCCTTACTGCCTTTCCTTAAAATGTAACGAACAGGGATAGAGAGCACAAATTAACCGATTTTCCGTTCATTTTATGTCGCCCTTGCGTCTGCACACAGTTAAAATTTATTCAGCGGATTTTTCTATTTTTTTTATTCTCACCAAAATCTGAGAACTTGAAGCAGTTGCAACAAGTTAAAGACCACGTAGTCCGCGATGGTAAGCTGAGGCCAAATTGTTCTTTTAAGAATAAAGGGTTCATTTAAAAGAAAACTGCATTATAACTTAATTATTTCTCAGACAGGTTTTTTGCTTCCACTTGCCCCCACCTATACACACGCATCCCTCCACCTTATACCGCATGGGATACGAGTTCATGTGATTTTCTCAAGGTTGAGGATACTGTGAATAACGCTCAGAAAAACGTTTCGGGTTTCCTATATACCACTCCAGGTTCCTTTACCACTCGCTTTAAAGTTCGTACTTATTTGTCATAATGAAAGGTATTTTATGTAATGAATTAGGCACTTTTTATCATAAATGAAGGCGGCAAAAAAGGTTTTATTTTTAGTACATAATATATAGATTTAGCCAGGGCTAAAAGCGAAGCTCTTGTTAATAAAACTTGTAAACAAAAAAAATTAAATCGTCTAATGCTAAACGGGGAGGCCAATGGAAATGGCATCAATAGATCTAATTAGCAAAAAAACAAATTGCACGTGCAGCACACTTTTTTTTCTAATTAGCAAAAAAACAAAATTTACACGTGCAGCACGCTTTTCGTCCTTCTTTGCCGTTGTTTTGCGCAACTACAACGCTGTTTTGTAGGACTAAACGTCAAACTTCCTAGTTGCACATTATTTTTATGGAGGAATTCTTACCCAATATTTTGTCTCCTGTGTTGATGTTCGCTTTTATTTTTCACTGCCGCTCAGTTTCACCTTCCTGGCCACGAGCATTTCTCATTGTCTCACAGCCGCTTTGAATTTTCATGTTTTTCTTCCTACAAAATTGTTCTCTTTTGTTCTCCGAAACTAGCTCTAGCTCAGTTTCTCTGTTATCCACGTGAGTGTAAACATCAAAAATAACGTTGAAAAAGACACGACTTTGTTGTTGTTTTTTCTTTCTAAAAGTCCGGGCGGCCATGCGATTTCTTTCCAAATAAAACCTTGAGTTGCATTTGGGTTGCCATACCTGTTAACTGAATTATTTTACATTGGTATGTCTGTGGTGCGGACGGACGGTCGGGCGGTCGGTGTACGGTCACGTGATTACCAAATTTTCTCGGATGGGTAGTTTACCACATTTTTTTACCCATGGTGCTCCGCTGCGCGCTTCGCGCGCGAGAGCTCCGCTAATAAAGGCAACAAAGATCAGGCGGGATTATTGATCTTTGTCTAAGTGTTGGTCAACTTTGATAATTATGTACCCAATTAATTTTTTTTAATACAGTTTACGTTATATTTATTTTGGGTCCTTGTCTAGGGCGTGATGTGTAACCTTCCAATTGCTGCAAGTACTCCTTGTTCAGTGGTAGCACATGACTTACTAGAGCAAGAAACGTCATTATATTTACCATCAACCCTCCTAGAAGAAACCGAGACAAGCGCTACAGGAATGAAGTCGGAAGAACCTATTGACCACCTTAACAGTTTCTTAAGAAGTCGAGACGTTAGTCCTATCAGGTACACCCTAAAGACACCTTGGAACGATGCCAGTGGAAGGACCAGACGACTGCATGAGCGCAAAGCCAAGCAAGTGGTATCAGCTGTTCTTGGTGAAATAGCGCCTAATGATCCAGATCTTCTCTGGGAATCTATTATGTCCTCAAAACAAAATGAAACTGGAAATCACACTTGTTCTAGTGGTTTGGATAAAGAATTGATGTACACGCTGGCAAACTGCTACAAAAATGCAAACGAGTGGGATTCTCGCAGGCAGATATTGTCCATAATGGCGGATAAGGTTAGCTTAGCAACAATTAAACAGTGGATCCCAGGCCTGACAAGTTATCGGTTTAAGGTCGCCAGGCAGCATGCTGCAGTCCATGGCAGTGGAAAACTGGTGCCTACCAATGCACAAACGAAGTCATTCATATCTGAAGCAAAATTAGCGCATTTCCTAGACTTTATCACAAGCTCCCATGTAATTCAAGATCTTCCATTCGGAGCCAAGACAATAACATTGTCAACTAACGAGGTCATCCAAGTTCCAAATGTGGTGCGGAACATGATACCTGAACGAATCGTTTGCCAGTACCAAAAATATTCTGCCGAGCATGATTTCACACCCATGAGTCGCAGTACACTGCTAAGAATTCTGCATGTTTGTGCCGCTTCGACTCGCAAGTCATTGCAAGGGCTAGATTACGTAAGCTGTTCTGGTGCGCAGGCATTTGAAGATCTTGTGAACGTTGTGCACCAGCTCGGGGAGAACGGAATGGGTCTTACATGGGCAAAAACACAAAAGGAAGCTTTAAAGGAGGCAAAGCGGTACCTCAAGACTGATTTCAAGGTAAAATAAGAAAGTGAAAAAGGGGAATAATTTTGTTGCGCGCCTGGCGTAGGTGTATTATGAATGTTACTCGACTGCCTACTACATGAGTACTCTCTAATTGGCTACTGCTCGCGTCTTGTTAGGTGAATAAGGGTGGATTCCCACTGTCGCGTAAATTTCACGTGCATACACACGTAGCTTTTAGGTGCGTAATTTAAATAGAGGCAATGTTGAAAAGGTCGCTTGTAAACGTAAACGTTGAGCGAGGTTTAGCCTTTACGTTTACTCGTGGCATTCCATACGTTGCTTCTATTTTATTCACACTCTTAACCCTATTTAGACCGGGAAGGGTTTGAAGCCCCACTTCGCTTAAAAGTTGAATAACTTCAAAACCGCTCAAGCTTTGAGCACCAAACCTAGGGACTTTTCCTAAAAATTATCTGGGGACATTTTAAAGTTGTCGTGACTTGTACGTCAGCATTGACGTTACCATGGCAACCGAGTTTTGAGAGCCATATTTTCCAAAACTTGCTGTTTTACTCATTCAATTATACCCTTACACTTAATTTAGTGATGTTTTATCAAATTTATTATACCTGTTTGTGTAATCCGGCCTTTTTAGCGACTGATTTGAGAACAAAACATGAATTTAAAATGGCCCAGTGGCAGATACTTGGGTTCAATTTCTAACAGTCTTAATTTCTCTCGGGATTTCACAAGTTGCGTATTTTTTTTTGTTGTTTCATGAGCATCCTTTTATGAACAGATCCGTTTTTCTATCACGATTACCTCCATTTCTACGTGTTTTAAGTAAAATTGGATACATTTGAAAAATTAAAAATGGCGGATCCAAGATGGCGGATGGTTCCAGATCCCTCTTTAACCATAAATGACGTCATCATGACGTCACTGCTAGTGTTAAAAGTCATTTATGTGTCAACTTACTTCTTGATTTTGTCAGACACATTATGATGTAAGTATTTTTTGCTTTGAAGGGAAAGCTGATGCAATTTGGATTCTGCCCATAGAATCAACAATATGACGTCATATTACGTAATTGTGTCAATCTAAAAATGCCTAGACGTTGGAAATGACGAGTACATTGTTCTATGACATGTTGCTCACCATACCATGAGCGGTTTTGTAGTTATAGAGGGGGGCCTCTGAGCTCCGCCTCCCGGAACCAGGAGCCCAAAAAAGCCCGGTTTGAATAGAGTTAATATTTACGTGCGTGCGGCATGCCAGTGAAGTTTACGCGATATGCAAAAGTGGAAGTCCACCCTAAGATAAAATGGGGGGGTCTGCCCATAGAATCAACAATATGACGTCATATTACGTAATTGTGTCAATCTAAAAATGCCTAGACGTTAGAAATGACGAGTACATTGTTCTATGACATGTTGCTCACCATACCATGAGCGGTTTTGTAGTTATCAAGGGGGGCCTCTGAGCTCCGCCTCCCGGAACCAGCAGCCCAAAAAAGCCCGGATTGCATAGAGTTAATATTTACGTGCGTACGGCATGCCAGTGAAGTTTACGCGATATGCAAAAGTGGAAGTCCACCCTAAGATAAAATGGGGGGGGGGGGCGTTGTAATACGGCATTCAGCTTCACAATATTTAGGTTCTGAAATCTTTCAGAAGATAGCATTACGTAGATATTCCTCAGAATTGAGGATTTGATAATTATTGCGCACATTTTAATCACTTAGGTTCACGTATCAGAGAGTTCAAGTATTCCAGATCACTGCATCGTTTTTGCTCTCAGCGACCCTAAAGATGTTGACTACCAGGCTACATGTGCCCATGATCATAGCGACGTTTGTGGTCAGTGTAATTCCCTTGCCGTTACTATAGAGGAGATAGAGAAAGCAATCAAGATGATGGCGATGAATCTTGAACATCTTTCCAAAGGCCAAATACACGAAGAGCTCGCATTCATGACCGAGAAAGCAAAACGTGATATAATTGCCTGGAAATCTCATTTGTTGCGTTCGGTAAACCAAGATAAAGCGAGATTAGACATCCTCCGAGACTTGGACGACACATCAGTTCTACTTGTACAAGATTGGGCCATGAAGTTTATTCCTCGAAAATATCGTGAAAGCCAACGCGATTGGTTTGGGAAACGGGGTATTCCCTGGCACGTGTCTGTCGCCATGAGAAAGGAAAGCACAAACAATGCTGGAAAGTACGAAACCCTTACCATGTGCCATGTCTTCAGAAGCTGCAGTCAAGATAGCTGTGCGGTACTGTCCGTCATGTCTGACGTACTCAAAGATTTAAAGGACGTCATGCCACACCTACAGCGAGTATACTATTGGCAGGACAACGCCGGGTGTTACCATTGTGGTAACACAATCAGCCTTGCTCACATGGTTGGTAAACATCACGGCGTGACTGTGAAGCGCATGGATTTTTGCGATCCTCAAGGAGGAAAAGGGGCTTGCGACAGAAGGTCTGCAGCTATAAAATCCCACATGAAGATTTACCTGAATTCTGGAAACAACATTGAAACGTCAGACGAAATGAAAGAAGCCATTTTGTCAGCCGGTGGAATGTCCTCGGTGAGGGTGACTTCGTGTGGACCCCCAAAAGCTCCAGCTTCTTTGAACATCAAGCTTGATGGAGTGGGTTCAATTTCGAATGTACAGTACGATGACAAGGGATTGCGAGTTTGGAGAGCATACAGAATTGGCAGAGGGAAATACACTCCTTGGGATAAGCTGAACGTCTCGGAAAATTCGGAAGTTCCGTACTTAACGGACGTAAATAAGGAAGGTGTCACAGCGAGTTTTGCCCCTGTAAAATCCAAGCGTAAAGATACTCTTCCGAGACAGGAGAGCGAGGAAGAGAGTTCCAGTGAAAACTCGAGTGACGAAACAGAAACGGAAACCTCCAACGCTCGTCTTTTTTCATGTCCGGAAGAGGGATGTATCAAATGTTACCAACGTTACTCGAATCTGCAGCAACACCTAGACTCCGGAAAACACACACGTGCTCTCGAACGAGAAACACTGCTAGACCAAGCTGTTTATGGATATGCGGAGAGACTGGAGGTTCAAGCGGTTGGCGTCCCCTGTGTGCGAAATGTTCAGGAAGTGCCAAAACAAGTGCCACTACAGTCTACTCTCCCTATGGGCTGGGCATTAAGATCATCCCAGAACCGAAGAACACGTTTTAATGTAAAGCAGAAAGAGTACCTATCCACAAAGTTCAATATTGGTGAGACCACGGGACGCAAAGCTGACCCAGTAGTTGTTGCAAAAGAAATGATGCACGCCAGAGGAAATGATGGAGAACGCTTATTCAGCAGCGATGAGTTCCTTACCAGCCAACAAATAAGCAGCTTTTTCAGTCGCCTTGCTACCAAAAAGAGTTTACTTGACAAGGATGACACAGAAGAAAATGACGACGAAGCCGCGGAGTTCGAGAGTTCCCTTGAGGACCTAACAAATCAAGTACGGAGGGAAGTTTCATTACAACATCCAATTGTGTTTGACTGTCATAATGTGTGTGACCTTGTTAAGCAAGGTAAACTGAACAAATTTAGCATTAAAATGCTGAAGAGCTTGTGCAAGCACTTTGATTTAGACGTCAGTCATATAACAGTCAGACTGAAGAGCCCTTACGTCGACAAACTGTCCACGTTTTGTAGCAAGTGCTCGTGTCAACAGTAAAATGACATGATCAGGTTTTCGCGTGATTTCCCTGCTCTGACGGGAATCTTCTTTTATTGGGATGATGTTTTTCGTATTTACCTTAAAAGAGATCTTAACCTGGGGAATTGAAGGTTCTTATGGGAACGTTGGGTGGGGATATGCCGCTGAGTCACTTACCTTTTTAGGACAAAAAAGGACATTCATTTTGCCATCCTTATCAAGACAGGACCCAACTTGTTATGACTCATAACAGAATTCCCATCATAGCCAGAAATTGAAGACAATATGGCGCTGGACCATGCACGTCATTTACTTTTCCCGTTCTTTAAATATGGCGACCATATGAAGGATTAATGGGGAGAAAAGAAACTTTTAAGGATAAATAAAGTTAGACGGAGAATCGCTCATCTCCCCACGTCTAAACCTTCGCAAGGCGATCGTGGCTTTCAGTCATGTTAATTTGGCAATGTGTCAAGCTCCCAAAGTTGGTCCGTGAGTCACCATAAAAATATGGCTTTCCTTGCCATACAAGAGTCTGTAATATTGCCTGAGCGCTTCTCTTTAAGCAAGAAAAAAGGTCATTAGGTGTCGGTGTTTCCTCCTTCACCACGTCCTGGTTCTTGAAGGATATGTTTATCTTCATTTTTGTACGGTTTTAGAGGCCTAACATCTTTGCTAAACCAGTCCGTTTTTTCCCTGAAATGTAGAAATTCCATAGAGTGAATCTCTGCGCCATTACTGCACGAAGCGATGGAAAAAGAAGGCAAATCGGAGACTTTTTCAAACGATAACTCCTTCGATCAGCCGCCATTTTCAAAACAGAGAGGTTACCAAGCCAGAGTGACACAGGGGGCCCCGTTTTGTCACGATCGAACGATCACAGGAAAGACAGGAAAGCATCAGCGAAGGGTTGGTGCTTGTCTAATAGGGACTCAGGCTAGATTTTGCTCATGTTAATTTAAAAATGGTAAAACGGACGCTGTTATTATAAGAAACTTAAACTCGACGTTTCGGCAATGCTGCCTTCTTCAGGGTATACAAGACTAAATACCGTTAAAAAGTGTTTAACGGTATTTGGTCTTGTATATCCTGAAGAAGGCGGCATTGCCGAAACGTCGGTTAAGATTCTTATAATAACAGCGTCCGTTTTACCATTTTTAAATTAACATTTACAAGTACTACACTGCGCAGGTTTTTCAATCTAGATTTTGCACAGCTTGGACTTTAGAACCAGTGTTAGGTTTCGCATTTATTTGTTTTTACATAGTGTCAAGTAGAATTATTTGAGGCTAGTAAATTGTAAGTCTACAGCACGGTAAAAAGTATACGTTTGCTTCCCCGCCATTTTGCGAATGTATAAATCCTCATTAGCTATTCAAAATCCCTGAAAATTAGCGTACGGTCAAAACCGCTGGCTGTCCTCGATTTCTGGCCATGATTCATTTAATTCACAAACCGAATCCAGATTTTTTTTAGAGTTAGATAGAGTTAGATTTCAAGAATTTTTGGTATTTCGCATTCAGAGTGCGCACCGCAACGTTTACTCTGTTTAATGCTTCCCCAGTCATATCCTCTTCCGCGGCACATCCCTGTTAACACCAAAATAAGAGAGTGCTCTTATCGGACCAAAATTAATTGCTTAAGTTATTATCTGCTTCATAAATACATGTAGAATTGTCAATATGATGATCCGTTGAGTCGCCTTATTATCTTCGTAGGAGACCATTGTTATTAGCTAGCGTAATTTCCCTACCCGATTTTGACGAGGCGGAGCAGAAAATTGTTTCGAGGTTTTGAAACAGGGGGTACATTTTGTGTCTCATGTGTTACGCTGTTTTTCCACCGAGAAGTCAATTTTTGCGCAGTATTTCACAATAGTGGCTAAAAACATAGGTGCAGCACAAGTTGCGTGCTTAAAATGGTTGATAACTTAAACATTTCGCATTATTTCCTTTTTTTTGCTCGTCTTTTAAAGTGAAAGAATGAAGTTGTATGGAGTAAGACTCGGATATGGTTTTCTTGGAGCCGATGCTCGAGTCCTGTATCCTGGTAATGGTATAAGTAGTTTTGTTTAGAGAAGTTGAAAAATAAAGCCACAACTTTTTTACAGTCTTTTTAGCGATTATTATGTCGTCAATGTATTCCATGAAAGACTATTTTTCTGGCTGCCTTCATCCCCTCCCCGTCCCCCACCCCGCAGCTTGCGCTTTGCGCATATAATTTCCATATTCGCCTTCACGCAACAGATGTCAAGATATAAGCTTGAATCAGGAGCCCCATACCTTGTGGTTTGAATCTTTTACCTTTCTGTTTACTTGTCTAGGACGATCGATTTTTTCTTCCTCAAAACACTGTTCTCATTCGCCGTCCAGAAATGCATTGTTAATATTGTGATTCCGTGACTGATCGACTGCCCAATATCACGTTTAGTCACGAAACAATTCGTCACGCGGGGTCTCCGGTCGGTAGAGTTTAGCGTTTCAAAATGGCTAAAATTCACCCAGTTTGGCTTTTCTATCTCACTCTTTAAGTAGAAACGCAACTTTGCAACTATAAAACCTACAAGGATTAAGAAAAATGAGTATCTGGAGATCAAATATCCACTTTCATGGATTTCGAAACTGGAAGTGTTTACACAATTACCGCCGACCCGCCATGAAAATTCCTGAACTTCGATACCGCCTTATGGAGACTTCCTGCAATAACCCAAGTTAATTCCCAGGTATGTTTTAGATGTATGTCTAAATGTGGGATTTAACTAGAGTGAAATCAATTTGGAGTTATACCACGTGTGTAATATTGCCGTCGAAAATCAATAACAAAACGGAGTTTTTGTTATCCATAAAACCTATTCCTCATTTTTGAATTATTTGTGCTCGGTGAGTGTCGCTTTTGCTCTAAAAGAATCTTCTAGTAAAAGAAGAACAGTGATTCTGTTGAAAGAAAGTGTCCAAATTTCTCCGTGCGACTTTGTTTGCGAACGAGAGGCAAGTTGATGTATGCAAATTTCGCGTAAATAATTAGCCAATTTTGCGACTCCGACCACAAAAACCGATGTTCTAATTTTTCTAAAAAATAAAAAGCTTTTGGCGGGAACAATCCACATCAGGTATCTTATCTACCTAAAAGCTATCTATGGACAAAAAATGAAAGAAATCGATTTTTCAACTCTTGCCACGAAATTAAGATTTTGGTCGATATTTCCTGACCGTCGCTCTTAAACATTAATCTCGATAGAAACAGTAACAATAGTGCTGCAACAGTTGCATTCGTAAAAGATTTAATTCCTTTTACTAAAAATGCTTTGTACAAAAAATACTTTAGTGAATTCTATGACTTTGCTGATGCGGATAATTACGGAATAAATATAGGTTCATCTGGAGTTATTATTAATTCTTTAACTCCTAATATTATACTACCACCAAATAAAGACCTAAGTGAAATAGTAGAAAAAGGATTACATGTTAATGGTTATAATGTTACTTTTTCTCCTTCATATTCCCCAATAGATACTTTATGTATTGTTTTTACTCATTGGAGAAATAGGAGTTTTAGCCTAACTAAATATTTATCATCAAACAATAATATTTTAGTAAAATTGGATTATAATAAATCAAACAATAAAGTAACTTTAACTGTCAATAAAACAACTCAAAATTTTACCATGCTAAGTAGTTTTAATGGAAAAATAATTGTTTTATGGCTGGCAGAAGATTTTCATTCAAATGTCACAAAAGTTTCAATAAGTAACTACAGCTTAACATTAACTATACCAGCCATTCAATACAATGCTAATCAAAGTTGGAAGTNTTAAACATTAATCTCGATAGAAACAGTAACAATAGTGCTGCAACAGTTGCATTCGTAAAAGATTTAATTCCTTTTACTAAAAATGCTTTGTACAAAAAATACTTTAGTGAATTCTATGACTTTGCTGATGCGGATAATTACGGAATAAATATAGGTTCATCTGGAGTTAATTCTTTAACTCCTAATATTATACTACCACCAAATAAAGACCTAAGTGAAATAGTAGAAAAAGGATTACATGTTAATGGTTATAATGTTACTTTTTCTCCTTCATATTCCCCAATAGATACTTTATGTATTGTTTTTACTCATTGGAGAAATAGGAGTTTTAGCCTAACTAAATATTTATCATCAAACAATAATATTTTAGTAAAATTGGATTATAATAAATCAAACAATAAAGTAACTTTAACTGTCAATAAAACAACTCAAAATTTTACCATGCTAAGTAGTTTTAATGGAAAAATAATTGTTTTATGGCTGGCAGAAGATTTTCATTCAAATGTCACAAAAGTTTCAATAAGTAACTACAGCTTAACATTAACTATACCAGCCATTCAATACAATGCTAATCAAAGTTGGAAGTTTACAACTGAAGATGGAATAGTAAGAAGGTTAATGTATACTCCAAACTTTTACGACACTGACTCTACTCAATTTCATAAAGTATTGATTCAGGAAAAGTTAAATGGATCTTATATAATATAATTATAAATGAAGGATATCTTTGAATTTAATCACATTGATAAATCTCTGTCAGAATCAGACGTCACAACTCTCAAAGACTTTTACAAACATTATCATAAGAAATACTGGTGTTACAAAAAGTGTTATAAGAGTAACAAATTTCTTGATGATGTATTTTCTATCTCTGGAATTTGCCTGGTTGCAATAGGAACTATTACTGGTGGTATTAGACTAAACCCCATTGTTCTAGGAGTTGTAAATGGTGCTGGAGTTGTCGTGGCGGGAATTGGAAAGAAAAAAAATTATAAGAGAAAAATTGAAATGACAAGAATTGCATTTACTACTTATGAAAAAGTACTCGTTGAACTTCGTGCAGCTCTTCGAGGTGATGAGTGGAGTAAAGAAGATTTTGTTGATCATATGAAGTTGGTAGATGAAATGATAATTGATCAGTCTCCTATAGCAGATAGATTTGCTAGTAGGTATAGTGAAAAATTTAATATAAAAGTTTAGAATTTTTACTAATAGATTAAATACTCAAATGCGTATTTAATCTGATATATATTTTTTATAATATCTCATTAACATTTCTATATGAAAAAAAGTTATACATTTTAAATTATAATTCAATCTTGATTGATCTGGTAGTTCACTAATTTCGTTTATAATATTAACAATATCATGTATTTGATTAAGATTTTCTCTTTCTAACAAACTTTTGGTTTAAAAGTGTCTATGTAGGTTTTCATTTCTGTAAACATATCATCATACGACTCTAAAAAGTCGAAATTTCTTTCATTAAGTTCACGTTTAATATCTTCTAAAACTCGCATATGTTGTCTCCATTTGTCTGAGAAACCGATAAGTTTTTCCTCCTTAAGAGTTAAATATTTTTTGTACGTCTCAGGATGATTCTTTTCTGTGTATTCTTCCCAAGAGTCTATAAAATTTAATCCTTCTTTAATCAACTTTTGTTTTCTTTTATTAAGTATAGCTTCCATTTTCTAATTAAATAATTTCTATTCTTTAAATAATATTAATTTTTATTTTAATATAAAAGGCTTAAAGATTAAATTACTAACAAATATATAACTCCAAGGAGGCCCTAATTTAGGGCCTCCCTTTTTTATAACCAAGTTTTTTAGCTACTTCTTTTGCTTAAACCATACTCTGAATTTTTTTGTCGATTTAAGAATTAAAATTTATTACAAGTTGTTTTTTAATAAATGTTTTCTAAATCATTTTTGATATTAATTTTAATATCAAAAATTAAATGTTTTTCTCAATTCTGTGAATTACTTTGTAATGGTTATTTAGTGTGTTTTTTTACAAAATGCTTTTGGGCAGTATTTACAAAGAATACGAACACCAGCCATATACTTATGTATAAGTTTGCTAATCTTATCATAATCATTACTTAGAATAAATGCATAATCATTATTACCATACTTTTCTTTCATCTTCAATTGAGATTCTGTTACACAGTAATTGTTAGTTGGTGATTTAAATTCGATACAGAGTCCTTTATATTCTTTGTGATAATCTAGAATCATTAGATCTGGTTGACCTCGTTGATATCCTTTTTTATACGAATATAGTCTTTTTTCATCTGTATCTTGATTCTCTCCCAGTCCGGCCACTAATATCGAATCAGGATAATAATTTCTAATTAGTTGAACAACTTTATAATGTAAATCTGTCTCATTACCAATCATTATCATCTTATTACAAGGACTATCAAACATTTTGTACTGACCATATTTACGGATAGATGGAAGAACCATATTAAATACCCACTGGTGGAACTTTTTAGCAAACTCTAATTTAGAACCAAATACAAGTTCGTAAAATCCAGGTTCATTTAAAATTGTATAATATTTTCCTCTGGTGTCATTTTGTTGAGGTCGCGTTTCACGACCCCTAATTTCATTTTGTTGAGGTCGCATTTCACGACCCTTACAATTTAGTCTCATAAAATGTATCATTTTGTTTTCTTCTGATACATGACGCTTCAATGCTTCTTTTGTATTACTATAGCCAAGTATCTCAGCTACATCTTTTCCAAGAAACCAAACATTTTGCTTTTTATCGATAAATGATTTTAACTCAATTCCTAAATCTTTATTTTTATAACCTTTCTCCAAAAACTTTGTCATTTATATTATAATTATATTTTTTAAACCGTAATTAATTTTCTATTTAAAAATAAATAGAAAATTTTATTATAATCCATAATATAAAATGCTAAACACAATTGTGCATTATGTTAACTATTATTATCCTTTACACAAACATCTTCCCTATCCTGAAAATCTTATAAAAACATCACTAATTTATAGATATTTATACGAAGTTTATTTTAAAGAAAATATAAATATAGAAAAAATAATTTATAGAATAGAAGATAGATCTATTAAATCTAATAATCCTATTCTAAATAATCATCTAATTTTTTACAGAGCTTTTAAATCTTTTCACAAACATTACAAAATTGGAAGAGGATGTGTATACACATTTGACTCTCCAATCAATAGTGAAGTATTAGGTTATCTAACTGGAATAAAATATTGGATTTTTCATAAAGGAATAATATAATCTATAAATAAAATGGCAGCTGTTATTATTAAACAAAAACATGTAAAACGTCTTGCTAGTACATTACTAAATGAAATTTATAATTTTTTACATGACGAGTATATACTCATAGAATTTAAAGAAATGAAAGAAGTACAAAAAGAATTTCTAAATAGTATTTGTGTAAATCATATTAATACGTTACATAAACAGTATAAAATAACAAAAGAAAAAAGAGAAGAATTAATTAAACCATTTTTATATAATGGTGAAAGTATTAAAGTTTTATACAATTCAAAACTTGTAAAAGATGCTGTAAAAGACGATGGAATAGATACTAAAGGAATATATCAAAATCTTAATAAATTAAAATTAGATATGGAAATAAATGAAGATCTATATTTTTAGATATCTTTAGAGTATTTGAAAGTGGATATACTTATTTAGAAGATTAAATTTTATATTTTTTAAAAAATATAAAATTATTTTTCTTGTGGTAAACCTAACAATCTTCTAGCTTCTTCTAATTTTAATTTGTAAAACTCTTTTCTTAATTCTTTGAGGTAATCATCCTTTGATACACCATCTGGTGGACTAGCGTCTTCAAAAAAATATTCAAATAAATCTCCATCATCACTTGAATCAAACAATTTTTCTGCTTCAAATATAGGTAATCCAACAACTCGCTTACTCATTTTATTTAAACATTTATTTTTTTTAAGCCTTTATAACTATCCCACCACTTTTCATAATTTTCTAAAGTTTGGGGGCTAATCTTTAGATAAACTAGTTTATATTTTTCACAACCCATCTCTTCCAAAAGTTTTTTGATTAAATAAAAAATGCTTATCATTCTTTTCCGACAAAATTGTTTGTTTAATATTTCCATGACATGATTATCTATTTCCATTAGTTTAATGTAAAGTTCATATTTTTGTTCATCAGTTAGGTTTATTCTTTTAGAAACTTGATCAACCTTTTTCTCATAGTGATACTTTCTCTGATAAATACTCTTTTTTCGAAAATGAAATCGATTGTATTCTTTCAAATCAAAATAACCTAATACATGACCATTAGTTGTTCCACAGGAATCGCAAATATCATAACCTGATTCAACACAAAAACTATCGTTTTGACAATTCCTACATCTAACTTTTCTACTTACATCCACTGGTTTTTTAGTATAATTATGTAATATTTCTAGATATTTTTTTATTTGATCTTCTGTATATGTCATTTATTATTTGTTATCGTATTATCTTAAAGCATGGGTTTTTACTTTGTCCTCCTATACAACGCGCTTGTCATCTTCACTACTCAAAGCTATTTTATTTACTTCCTTTGAGTAAATATCATGATTTTCACTTCTTATAATTTTCATAGTTCTCATTTGCTTTTCACCGGTAAATAAACACTCAACATAATTTTCAAATTCTATTCCCTTTTTTACAACATTTTTCTTTACACCTTTACACTTTTTTGTTAAACTTCCATCCTCTATCTTGAAAGTATAAAGCTTTGGACGAAGGCCAACAAATTTTGTAATCTGTCTACCAGCTACTTCATCTTTAAACATTCCTATTACTTTTTTGTTAACTCCTGTTAGTATTCCAGATGGATGGTTTGGTGGATAATCAGATGTGTCAAACTTCTCTAATATATCATAGGATATATCTTTGTAAAAATCATCCGTATGAATTTGGTATAAAGGTGGGTCAGTATCTGTTAACATTAACTCAGCTTTATTTCGATATTTCTTTTTGATATAATTGTAATGAAAATCAAACATTAATGTTTTTGATAAATCTAGAATCGCTTGACCAACATATACTGGTTTGTTAAAATACACTTCTGTACGCTTCATATGAACTGCAATAAGATTTTTATCAAATATTGTTGCTCTATCAAAGTTTGGACGACTTGTTAGTTTTGCAGCTTTTTTACGATCATCAATAAGAATTATATTCTGTCTTTTCCTTATGTTTTCTATTGTCTTTCCAAATACAGAATTATTCATTAGTTTGAAAAAGTCTTTCTCAAAACTGTTAGCTGCTGTTTTTCGAAGTTCTGTAATTTTTCTTATGTAAGGCTCCATCCAAGAAGATTGGTAAAATGATATTCCTCTATGAACAGCAGTAAGCCTCATTCCCATCTCAAGATATTGTCTAAGATTACGATAATGTACAACATAGTTTTTTCGGGGTTTAAAATGACATATAAGTTTTTCAACACCATTAACAATCATCTTCTCAGGTGCAAGAGGATAGTCATTATGTGATTTCCATAGCTTTTTAGGATATTCCAAATCAACTTCAAATATATATCCTTTTCTCCCACGATTTGACATACTATGATTTGCCTTATCTAGGATGTCCATTACTTTTTCTTTTGTTATATTTTCCATCCAACTGAATCCATGTGTTGGAAGTTGTTGTGACATTGCCCAACCGTATAGATTATTTGCATCAAGATATTGAATATAAGTAGACTCCACATCAGGATTATAATCTTTCATATATTTGTTATTTGCTTCTGCATATCTTTTTGATATATGGGATATTCCTCCACGAATACCACGCTCAAACATCATTAACTTATCGTCATCATGTAATAACTGTAATTTTTGACCTGTCTCTTTGAGACATGCATCTCAAGCTAAACCGGGAGATGTGTAATAATGAGCTGGATCTAGCTTG